AAAAAAAAAAGTTTCCCAGAGTTGTGGGCGGGTGTCAAAAATAAATGAATAAAGTTGAAGTATCATTTTCGAGGCTGTTAAGATAATTAAGTCTGTATGAATCATTGCACTGCAAATAAACTGTTGTTGTGTGGTAAATAATATGCCATTTAAAGCAACTCTTTCATCCCAAAGCAGCGCAGTTAAAGCATACAATTGTTGCATGGCTTCTCTCAGTGGGAAACAAACCTCTAACTGCTGTGGTGTTGATGTGATGCTCTACCCAGTGAACTGCACAGTGACATGAGTCAACTTTTTCTTTTTCTATAGAAAAGTCTGCAATGAGCAAACTCTCAGCTCCAGGGGGTTGGAGTGAGTGAGAGATTGGGGCCGTTGATACATGGTGTTGGGTTTTATTAGCATTGAGAATGTGGACAGTGGTATTCATGCAAATTAGAATGTATTGTACGTTGAAGGTTAATTCTGGTCGACTGAAACGTGTATCTTATTTTTGTAGTTATGGCTTTTAGATCGGGGAATACGTCAACATAATTAGATAGACACCCATGAGGGAAGAAAAGTGAAGACAGACAGTCAAAGAACCAAACTCCAGTACATCCAAACTTAGCAGAGGAGAAATGAAGGTGAAGGCTAAAATTCTTTAAATATTTTGTTGTTAAAGACCCTCTCCAATGAAAATCAAGTTTTCAACTTTTTCAACATCCATATGATGTTTTTTATATAATACAAGACATATCATGAGTGAATAGGTATTTGCACCTTTGAACTGTAGTGAACCAATGACAGTCTCATAAGAAACCTGTCATAAGTCACAAACCTAAGAAACCAATCCTGTCAGTGTGGGGATGGTGGGCGGGGCTAAACAAACCTGAAATCTTGTCAGTACAGAGAGCGAGAGTTTGTATTAGCACAACCACTAACACTGTGTCAGCCACTGCCAGTTACAAGCTAACAAACAACACAAACAAATAAAAGATGCTAACTACACTAACTGTTCTGATCCGTCTGCTAGTCACTGAATCTTGTCTCAACAGACTCCTCATCTGAGTCTGGGTCTGACTGAGGCTCAAACATGGCTGAGTCTCTCCCATGCTTCCTCTAATGCTAACCATCTGGTTACACACTGCTCGTTCACCGTTCACCAAAGCCTTGTCCATACAGGGAGAGTTTGCAGTAGCACAGCCACTTACACTGTGTCAGCCACAGCCAGTTACAAGCAACATCAACGACAACGACAACAACATAAACAAATAACAACGCTGACTGTTCTGATACGTCCTCTAGTCGGACCAAAGTGATGGACTGACCAACCAACCAAGAGTCTGACAATGCAGTCCATAGTGCTGTTGGGTCTGAGCTCTGCCTCATGAGCGGGACACCATATGTTGGACCTTCAGTTGTCCAGCAATTTATTGGCTATCATAAATTAAGAAAATATTAAAAATATTAATATTGAATAATAACTGAATTAAAGTCCTCGGGGGCACCAGCCTAAAAAAAACATAGGCGAAATAGCCAGTATTGGTTCAGTCTCAAATCATTACTATTAATCTGGAACTCTCATTAATAGTGAACTTAATAACTCTCCTTGGCTTGTTCAGGAGCAGCAGCTCCTCTCCCCTCTTGGCTTTCTAACAAGCAACAATGCTCCCAGCCCAGGTCGGCCCTGCTACCTGAGACAACAGCTCCCTTGCTGGCCTGCTCACAGCAGACCTCACCACTCTTCTCCTCAACATCAGCAACCTGCTTAGGAATTACTGAGAATGAACCAAGTTTTATTCAGAATCAGCAGCTACAACACGAGGTCAGCCAGCTGATTCCCAAGCAACAGGAGCCACAGCAGAGTTAGCATGGAACAGCTAACTCTGTGAGAAGAACAGAGGAGAAAACAGCTGAAGCCACACAGCCAGACAGGACTTTACTACACCAGGAAGCCTCCCAACTCACTGGACACTTCAACAACATTGGAAAGGACCTCTTTGTTTGTTCCAAGGACTGGGTAACGTTAACTGACTTGGCCTAAATAAAGGGTCTAAATTTATTTCTGGGGTAACCCCCAAAAAGGTACCCGGTCGGGAGGTAGTACTTTCCAAAGGTTCAGGAACTTTGGGGGGTGTGGTCTGCAGTGCTGAACATTTCTGACTAGTTAATACTCGCTGCATTTTATTTCACCCGCGATGTTTAAAAGTCCCGAGTGAGCACCGAGCGAGGAAACACTTTTTCCACACCGTGAAACAGGTCCGGGAGAAGGTAAAAAAACTGAAACAGGACTTCAAAAAACTAAAGGACCACAACAGCCAGAGATGCTAGGGTTGCCACCCGTCACATATAATATGGGATTGTCGTGTATTTGAAAATAAAATGCTGCGTCCTGTGTTGAATATACGGGATGCAATTTGTCCCGTATTTGCGTTCATGTTATGTCCTCAAAGTGCTGTGATTAATGTAATGTCAAGTAATAATTTTGCATAATCTTCCTGGGATTTATAAGCCGTGGTGGAAACACAGACAACAATCGGCCACAGGAACCTTTTAGTTCCTGAAGAAAAGTACCTGGAAATAAAAGTTCAGGCCATGTGGCCATGTGGTCATAGTGACCACTTTGAATCGGCGAATCTTGCCTTTGTCCGTGTCCCCACAGACACCCCCATACACACACACACACATACACACACACACACCTGTATATACTGTAGATTAGACATTGTGTTTTTCTCTGTCCTATTGTAAATAAATGTCTAAGTATAATCACCGGTGTGTTTAATGTTGCACAAGTGTGAATACTGCCAACCTCTACTCAGTAGAACTCCAATCATTCAACTTTAACTTACTGTGGATATGGTAATTTGGTTGTAGTTCTTAAATTAATTATTAATGAGGGTTCCAGATTAATAATAATAATTTGAGACTGAACCAATATTGGCTATTTTGCCTAAAGTTATTATTTAATTCAATATAATAATAATTCAATATTAATAATTTCTTAATTTATGCCTTATAATTTAGCCAATACATTGATAGACAACCGAAGGCCCAAAATATGGTGTCTTGCCTGTGAGGCAGAGCTCAGACCCAACAGTGCTGCACTGCTAGCATGGCTAAAAACCAAAGGGGCTGCATTGGTGGAGTCACAATGCTTGAGATAACACTGAAGTACAATCCAAGGACAGTTTGAGGAAACAATTTATTTAAACAGCACATTTCTTAAATATATATCACAAAGTTCCTGACAATAAAAGACAAATGCAAGACAGTCACAATTTAGAAGTAATAATTAAATTAGAGATACATATAACTGAATAGAGGCAAATAAATCAACAACATTTGCAATACACAGTATTCTACTAAGAATATGTGCTTTGAGTGGCCATTGAAGTGCTTTGCTGGAGTATGTGCTTTGCATTTTGCTAAAGGTTGAGCTAAGTTAAACATTTTTGGAAGGTTGGATGCCCCAACAGGCTAACGGTTAAACTGCGTACCATATCACTGCAACATCCGTGATTCGATTCCAGCCAAGGAGCCATGTTATCTTACACCTCTCTCACTGTCCTTGTTTCCTGTCTATCTCTGCACTGCTTCAACTACTAAAGACAAGAATTCTGTAGAAGTCTGTAAAACCGATTTCTCCCTCTGCGAGGATCCCTCTTTGCCAACTCAGTGGTCTCACTGAAAAAAACTACAGGGTTCTGTTTTTTTTTTTTTTTAATCAGTGCTCTAAGTAAAATGCTTTACATAATCTGACTAAACTGTTGACGACCTGTATGATCTCATGACTGCTGCCAATTCTTGCCCTTTCAAATTCTGCAGTCACTGTATTTCCAGATCTCAGCTGTTTCTTTGGTGCATTCAGTGCTATCATACCTGACAAAAACACAACAAATTGACCTAAAAACTAGAATTCCTCTTTTTAATTGTTTAATTATTCTTTTGCTCTATTTAACAGCAGATTGTGTGGCTAATCCACTAGATAGAACACCATAATGCAGTCCTTCTCATTCATGTCATTGTTTAGCGTGCTGTACTTTAAAGCTGCTTCTTCCAGTGCGAGGAGGGAGGGAGGAAATCTTAACGAATCAACACTCTAAGATCTGTGATGACTGTAACAAACTCAAAAAAGTTTCTAAAGGTGTCGCTCTCTCTCGTGTCGTGAACCTTACCTGCCCTTTCTTCTAAAATCCAACTGCAGCCGCTGCCTCTGCCACCATTCACTGGCGAGACTTGTTTGCTGTAAGCTGCTTTTAATGAGCACACTCCAACTCGCCAGCAAATCACAGTGACTTTTTCACCTGTGCTGGAACAAATTCCAGCAGCACGGCTGTGTAGCAATAACTTGATCTTGAGGAGCAGGAGTCCACAACACTGGCGCTCACAGGAAGGCAGACCTGGAAGTGTGAGCCCGCAGGCATGTTTTCCTCGCAGCCCACCTCTTTTCATAAGCTCCGCTCATTAGTTTGTTGTTTTTCATGCAGCAGCAGAGGCTCAAAGAGAGATGTTAAGCACATCTAATGGCTCTGAGATGATAAATAGAGAAGGTTGGATATGGAAAGTCGTGTGAAGATCACAGATGCTGCACAGTGAGAATAGTGCTGCCATGTACAACACCAGGTGCGATGTAACCGAGCTGCTTCACCTTTGTGTTTGAGAGTTTATTTTTATCACGGATCATGCCGGTCAGATTCAAAAAATAAAAGTCCACAACTGGTTAAAGCATTTCACCTTTCAGTCTTGCAGCGTAGCAAATTATTGTATACATGTTTAAAATAAGAGGACAGCTGTGCAAACAACTCCTACCTGCAATGAAAAAAAAAATACATTCATGACGCACTTCGAATCAAAGCGTCCGTCAAAAGACACAATTGCAGGATTACAGAGTCGGTGTGCTGACGTGTCTCCACATTTAAAAACAGGCTGCATCTTTTCTCTGCACGACTTCAACTTCTTTTCTTGTATCTTTCCGTGTGTGTGTGTGTGTGTGTGTGTGTGTGTCATGGTGTGTTTAGTGTCCAAACACTGGAAGGCTGTGAAATCCTCCTGGGCCCAGAGGTGACGTACGGTCCTCCGGGTCTGGACCTCTTCTGCCCAGTGGCCATGACTATCGCTCACTGCGCCGAGGTGGACGCCGAGAACTGGAACATCCAGCTCAAGAGGAGAACCCAGGACAGCAAATGGGAGGTGAGAGCTGCAGGCCCACACTTGTCAAGGACAGTGCAGCCTGTCAAGATGTTAGCTGGGCTTAGACGTGGCGTTGGCCTTTCCTAAGTTGTCTTTTTCCTGAATGACTCCATTCTTTTTTTTTTATAGCTAAATGTCAAGAGGAATGAAGGGGCGGTAAACCCACCAACCCACTGTTTATGTTTGCAGGACAAATCTCGCTTTTATAAACAAAGTAAACACAAGAAAACACCAGTCACAGTATAAGAATAAAAGAAAGTGTACGTGCTGTTGAGGTCCTGTTGTAATGTTGCCATCTAGCGTTGCTTTGCGGAAGTTTGGAATCACTGCACTATGTCCATAAATGACAAAGGCTAATTCATGGTTTTGATGTGAATCAGTATTTAAATGGGAGCAGTTTCCATCCACAGACTACCTGTCTCAATTCAGATGAGATACAATAATAAGATAAGGTTATTACATGTGACCAACATACTGTTCCTGCTTAGCTGCAACATCTGGATCTACACACCTGGTGAAAAAAGTAACTAAAGAAAGAGGAAACATTCAATCAAAACTCAAACAAAAGCCTCTCATAATGATACCTGTGTGCTTTCCCTTGAGCTCACGTTTATTCCACATGACGGCAAAATATTTTCTATCAACAACAGATGAAATGACTCTGTATAGTGTGAATGGGCTCACGTGTTCTGACAGGCTCACTTGCAGTGACCTAGCTGGTTGTTTTGTGACCCCAGCCTGCGAGTTTCACTCCAGACCACCATGTCTCGCGCGGCAACAGGCAGCTATTTTAAGTGAAGCAACTCCATACACTGGAAGCCCAGCACCAAACTGCAGACAGACATAGGAAAATAAAAAATCTAAATGTTAAAGAGTTATACATATATTTATGTGAGTGACTCAAGACCAAAAAAGTGTTTGCTAACACGTTCGCTATGAGGTGATAATATATCAGTGTTGGGTTTTTAGCTTCTTTTGCTGCCACCAAATACTGGAAAAAAAAACAATGAACGCAGCTTTAAATATTATCATTCAGTTGAATTTGTAATTAGTTTTTAGTTTTGTGATTTAGTTAGTAAATTAGTTTTTGAATTAGTGACTTATGTTTCATAACTCATCATATTACACCCTCTTATATAAATCTGAAGGTTGTTACACAAAGAATGTCAGGCTTTAGCTTTTGAAATATGAAAGTCATATTCTGTCACATTTATAACTATAAGCAACTTTAGCCACAACATAAACCTGTGCTATAACTATGCCCATACGCTCTGCAATGCTTATTGAAAGGAATGCAGTGAAATACACCATAGTTTGGTGCTTCTTTTATTTTGAAGATTTTTTAACAAAAGATATGTGAATATTTGTCTGATTAGAATATCTCATGTGAATGCTAGCTGGACTGAGCACGTTATTAACTCTTAGAGCTCTATCATACACAAGTGTCTTTGCTAGTTTCAGACCCACATGGTCGTTTTCCCGTCCAGCGCTCACGTTGTTTAAATGGCAAATACACTTGCGCCCATCTGAGCGCCCATGGGCGTGTTGGTCTTTAAATGAGGTGTATGGTCAGGAGTATTGGTAGCGCATTGCTATCTTGAGACAATGAAAGGCAATGCGCAATTGACCAACAAAGACTTGGTCTGAAGTCAGTGGTACAGTATTTCACTGTTATGTTAAGGACACATTGTCAAGAGACTAAAATGTGCCAAGATACACGGGCGCACAGAGCGCATACACTCTTACACTCTGCCTGTTACACACAAGAAGAGAGTGCCACACTGTTTCCCATTCATCACCTAAACTACATTTATCCACAGTTTCATAATGAACCGAACATTTATTTGCACGTCTCATAATCATAACAAAACATAAAAGATGTCTAACGTTGTGATTTGTGCCATTTCTTGGCAGAGCTGTGTGCAGAGCATTGATTCCCTCAGCCCTCCCTTGGCCCTCACAGTTCACAGAGCTGCTGTTTGTGTGTGTGTGTGTGTGTGTGTGACAGTTATTTTCCATTGTTAAAATAGCAAAAGTGACATGGACACGCCCTAAATGCATTTGCACTACGCACTTTAGATTGTGCGCTTTGGACTGTAAAAATAGAGCCCTAGAAGTCATCCACCATCAAGATTGTTTGGGGTAAACAACCAGAGGTTGGAGGCTGATGATGAAGGTCATAAACTGCCACCCCCACCCGACCCTGACCCCCTTTTCTACCCTTCTAAACAGTAACTGGATGTCACTCAGTGTAAGATAGTGAGTTTTGTTAAAGTCATGTTCCTAGACATAAGACGCCATGAGTTCCTTGTGCTCCGCCTCTGCTCGCTGGCCTTTGTATGAGCTTTATGTGGTAAAAGGTCCAGTTAGTCAGTGTGACATGTGACTGGTGAATTATATGTGAGCCATAAAAGACTGTTGGGGCTTTGTGGGTGAGCTGATTGATCCCGCCTTATGTCCTCTGTGGGTCCAGAGGGTGACATAAGGGCCGCATGAAGGTAACACCGCCGGTCCGGCAGGAGGAAAATAAAGAAACAATTACAGCATGTAATGGGCAGGAAGAGGCATGGCTGCTGTCAGTCAGCGGGGAGGAGGAGGGGCCCCGTTAGACAAGGCAAGTATCGATTAGTGGATCAGGAAAGACATGGCACAGTGAATTAAGACATGAGGTAATCAGCAGGAGAATTATTGAGATTGTTTTTGTGCTGACAACAACTCTCCATGAGCCACCATGAACACACACATCTACACACACACACACACACCGAACGCACCGCCGACAAACAAGCGGCACAACTCACCCAATATTTTGCATTCTTTGTTGGCTTCTTGTTGGCTCAGATGCTTTGCAACAGGAGGCATTGTATTTTTTTATCCAGCTTTGTATGTGTCTGTGTTTTCATTCCAGCAGTGTCAGCCTTTTCTTTTCTTTTCTTCTTTTTTTATTCTCCGTGAAGAAGATTGCTTTTACTGGTCTGGATGAAGTCCCAAGAGCTTAATCCCAAACCCAAAGGCATAACAAGCCCAAACTCTGTTATCACTTTGCATTATTTGCTCGTGTATTTGAGCAGTAACCAGCATCATGATAACAAGACAAGTAGTGGGGCTGAATAATGAAGAGAATATTCAGTCAGGCGGTAATGTAAATGTAAATCTGACGTAAAGTTTTGGCAAGCCAAGCATGGGTCAGAATAATGAATACTGCAGGTTTGCCCCTGGCTGTTGTGGTGGTTGTCAGCGCTTAAAAGAGCTTGTTATTTAGAGGAAGACCAGTCAGATTTGCCTGCTCTCTACATTGTGAGCCTTTGTCCTGAATAATGTTTTTCTAAGCGATGGAGACGGCTGCTGTGAAGAATATGCAAGAGCTGCAGCGGCGTCTGCGTGCGCCGCTATCTTACCTCGAGCAAAGATGCGTAATGATAAAAGCTTTGGTTTGATATCTAAGATCAGAACCAAGTTACAAGTCCCTTAGTCTTGGATGCAATTATTATTATTATTTTTTTTATTGTTCAGTGAATTAATTTATTTTGAAGTAGTCATTCAGTATGAAATGTACTCATGTAGTTGTAGTATTATTAGGGCCCAAATTTAGTAATTGGATTGTTGTTAATTTGAGTCTAGTTTTCATCAGTGACATTTTAGTCTTATTTTTATTATCCACTTTTAATGTTCATGTATTTGAGGCATTGTGAGGCTGCAGTGTCTGATAATGTAGTGATATTAGTTCAGTGAACATCCAGTATAGAGGATGATTGTGATGACTGACCGTCACGTGGAGCTTACTCATCCTTTTTGATTGCATCATGAAGTACAGCCAAGTGACAGTAACCTTAATGTTACATGCACAGCACTTAAGCTAATGTTACGCTAGCTCACCTCTTTATAAAATGTCAATGTGCTGCCTGCATGTTTCCGTAGTTTGTCTCAGCTGTTTTCTTGCGTCGTCTTGTCTAATTCTCAGTGGATTTTAGATGAAGTTAGTGCGTAAATCTGATTCTGACAAGAACATCCAGTAACATGACCGACAGAGACAGATTGAGAATGATTGTAAGCTGCTTCTTATTAATGGCAGGGCAACAGGTCAAACAACTTAACTTCTGAACTACATATATTTTTGGGTGATGGAGGAAACAGTGTGTGATTCTGATGGATGCATGTTGTTTTGCATTAAAACATTAGTAAGTGTATAGGAGCTTTGTCACGATGACGTTTCTGACAAAAACGTCAAGTAATTAACACTGTGATCTGATTTTATCATCGGAACAGGTGAGACATGAATGTGAACTGTATGTGAACTATATCATTTAAGTAACCCACACAAGTACTTGACCAAACTGCTGGACAGTAATCGGTAAACACTGATCGTGTTAATCGTTTAAATGCATCTCCTAAAAAGTGTCAAACATTTATCCTCATATCTCATCTAATGATGAGCCAATTAGCTTAGCTTCTGTAACACATTATAAATGTTTAAACGTTTCTCTGATAATAATTTGGTCCAAATACAATGATATCTGGTGGCAGCACTGTGGTGCACTGAGTTGGCACTGTCGCCTCAGCAAGAAGGTCCTGGGATTGAACCTTTCTTTTTGTTTGCTGCATGTTCTCCCGTGCCTGCGTGGGTTTTCTTTGCGGGTACTGCGACTTCCTCCTACAGTTTAAAAGCATGCAGGTTAATCAGTGACTCTAAATTGTGAACGTGAGTGTGAATGGTTGTTTGTCAATATGTGATAGACATCCCTCGCCTCCAAAACTACTAATTAGAAAGCATCTAATCAACCAGTGATTTAAACTCCCCCTCACAACCACAATTTAGCTGATGAATTGTCAGTACTAACATGTATACATTGGTGTAATATTTTGAATCACAAGCTGCTCTGGAGAAGGTTGGCAGCACAGTATAGGTTACCTAGGTAACCGGGGTTATCTAAAGTGGTTGAATTTGAGCTGGCTTAAACGCACCCAAGATAAACCCAAAGATACCACAGCTGCCTCTCTTT